ATCTTTCTTTAGCTGTGTGAGCATCTTAGAACATTTGTCTAAATCTGTTTATCTAGAAAGTCCACCATCTGGTCTTTCTCAGGGATAACTGCTGTTGATTTATTTTCTCCTTTCTTGTTTTTCTGTATTCCTTGTCAATTTTTTCAAAACTTGACATTTAAATTTAAATTTAATAATGTGGTAATCTGGAATTCAGATTCAATTATCACAATTATCACAATTATCACAATTGAATTATCACAATTGTGTTAGGTTAGCTATTACCAAGATTGCAAAATATAGCATGTGTTGGTGAGGATATGGAGAATAAAGAACCTTTATATACAGTTGGTAAAATATACGTTGTTGTAGCCACTCTGTAGAACAGTTTTGAGGCTTCTCAAAAAATTACAAATAGAGTTACCATAAGATAACAGCAATCCCACTTCTAGGTACACATCCAAAGGAATTGAAATTACTTCTCAAAGAGATATCTGTACCCCAGTATTCATTACAGCATTATTTAAAATAACCAAGACATGGAAGCAACCTAGTTATACCTCAAAAGATGGATTTTTAATTTATTTTTAACTTTTTTTGGTGATGAGGTATAGCTGATTAACAGGCTTCCCTGGTGGCTCAGATGGTAAATAATCTGCCTGCAATGCAGGAGACGTAAGAGACTCAGGTTCAATCCCTGGGTTGGGAAGATGCTCCTGGAGAAGGAAATGGCAACCCACTTCAGTATTCTTGCCTGGAGAATTCCATGGACAAAGGAACCTAGTGGGCTATGATTAATCCATGGTGTTGCAAAGAGTCAGACATGACTGAGCGACTAATACTGTCATAGCTGATTAACAAGCTTGTGATAGTTTCAGGTTACAGTTAAGGGCTCATCCATGCATATACAGGTATCCATTCTCCCCCAAACTCCCTTCCCATCCAGTTTTCCACATAACATTGAGCAGAGTTCCCTGTGATATACAGTAGGTCCTTATTGGTTATCCCCTTTAAATATAGCAGTGTGTACAGCCTGATCCTAAACTCCTTAATTATCCCTTCCTCCCATCCTTTGCACTTCAATGATAAGTTCATTCTCTAAGTGTGTGAGTCTGCTTCTGTTCTATAAATGAGTTCATTTTTATCATTTCTTTTTAGATTATGTATGTAAGGGATGTCATACAATATTTACCTTTCTCTGTCCAACTTTATTAACTCCTTATGACATTCTCTAGGCCCATCTATGTTGCTGCAAATAATATTATTTCATTCCTCTTAATAGCTGAGTGATATTCCATTGTATATATGTACTGCATTTTCTTTATCCATTCCTCTGTTGATAGACATTTAGGTTGCTTCCTGTCTTGGCTATTGTAAACAATGCTTCAATGAGCAGTGCAGTGCATGTATCCTTTTGGACCATGTTTTTTTCTCCAGGTATATGCCCAACATTGGGATTGCAGGGTCATATGGTAGCTCTACTTTTAGTTTTTTAAGGAACATCCATACTGTTCTTCATAGTGTCTGCACCAATACCCTGTTAACAGTGTAAGAGGGTTACCTTCTTTCCACAACCTCTCCAATATATATGGTTTGTGGATTTTTTTATAATAGCCACTTGCCTAGTTTGTGGTGATACCTGATTATAGTTTTGATTTGCATTTACCTAATAATTAGTGATGTTAAGCCTCTTTTCATGTGCCTTCTGACCATCTATATGTCTTTTTTGGAGAACTGTCTACTTAGATGTTCTGTCCATTTTTAAATTGTATTGTATTGTTTTGATGATGTTAAGCCTCATGAACTGTTTGTAGTTTTTGCAGGCTAATACCTTGTTGGTCACGTCATTTGCAAATATTGTCTCCCAGTCTCTGGGTTGTCTTTTCATTTTGTGTATTGTTTCCTTTGCTGTGCAAAAGCAGTTGAGATTAAGTAGGTCCCATTTGTTTGTTTTTGTTTTTATTTCCATTATTGTGGGAGATGGTTTGAAAAGGATATTGCAATTTATGTCAGAGAATTCTCTGCCTGTGTTTTCCTCTAGGAGTTTTGTAGTGTGCAGTCTCACATTTAGGTCTTTAATCTATTTTGAGCTTACTTTTGTGTATGGTGTTAAAGAATGATCTAATTTCATTTTTTACATATAATGGTCTAGTTTTCCCAGCACCATGTGTTAAAGACAGTGTCTTTTCAGCATCATGTAGTCTTGCCTCCCTTGTTATAGATTAATTGACCATAGGTGTGTGGGTTTACTTCTGGGCCTTCTATCCTTTTCCATTGGTCTATATTTCTGTTTTTGTGGCAGTACCATACTGTTTTGATGACTGTAGCTTTGTAATATAATATGAAGTCAGGGAGCCTGATCCTTCCAGCTCTGTTTTCTCTCTTGAGATTGCTTTCACTACATGGAGGCTTTTGTTTCTCCATACAAGGTTTTGGATTTTTTGTTCCAATTCTGTGAAAAATGCCTTTGGTAATTTGATAGGGATTGCATTCAGTCTTTATATTTCCTTGTTTGACTATGTTTATTCTTCCAACCCATGACCATGGCATGTCTTTCATCTGTTTATGTCTTCTTTGGTTGCTTTCATCAGCATCTTGTAGTTTTCAGAGTACAGGTGTTTTGTTTCCTTAGGTAAGCTTATTCCTAGGTTTGTTACTCTTTTTGATACAGTGATCAATGAAATTGCTTCTTGAATTTCTCTTTCTGATCTTCGGTTGTTAGTGTGTAGAAATGCAATAGATTTCTCTGTTAATTTTGTTACTTGCAACTCTACCAAATTCATTGATGAGCCCTAGTGGTTTTCTGGTAGCATCTTTAGGATCTTCTATTTATAGTATCACATCATCTGCAAACAGTGAAAGTTTTACTTCTTCTTTTCCAATCTTTATTCCCTTTATTTCTTTTTCTTCTCTGATTGCTGTAGCAAAACTACGTTGAGTAAAATTGGTGAGAGTGGACATCCTTGTTATGTTCATGATCTTAGAAAAAAAATATTCTCAGCTTCTCACCATTGTGTAGGATGTTTGCCAGAGGTTTGTCATAAATGGTCATTACAATGTTTAGTTATATTCCCTTTATGCTGCTTTCCAGAGAGTTTTTACCATAAATAGGTGCTTTGTTGTTCAGTCACTCAATCATGTCTGAATTTTTTGCGGCTCCATGAACTGCAGCATGTGAGGTTTCCCTGTCCTTAAACATCCCCTGGAGTTTGCTCAAACTCATGTCCATTGAGTTGGTGATGCTGTCCAAGCATCTTGTCCTCTGTTGTCCCTTTCTCCTGCATTCAATCTTTCCCAGCATCAGGGTCTTTTCCAGTGAGTCAGCTCTTCACATCAGGTGGCCAACATACTGGAGCTTCAGATTCAGCATCAGTCCTTTTTTACTCTCCCCTTTCACCTTCACCAAGAGGCTCTTTCTGCCATGAGGGTGGTGTCATCTGCATAGCTGATGTTGTTGATCAGATAAATAAGAAGGGTGACAATATAATTGTAACCTTTTCACTTTACAAGGTCCTTACCAGGACTTTTGCCTCAAAGGAGGGGTATGCTGAAGCAAATGGGCACATGCACCTAAAAGGAGTCCAGTTTTTGCCTGTGTGGGCATCTGCCGCTCTGCTCAGATGCAGCTGATAATCACATCTCTTCCCCAGTCATGACTGTCCTAGATCTAGTGCCACACTATGTGTGCTGTGAGTGGGGCCAAAGAGTTTTTCCAGCTTGGACAAGGGCACACAGGCAATTGTGGGAAGCGCAGCAGCCGTGCTGGCGTCAAAAGTCTGGGTTGCTTCTAGAATGTCACTTAAGGTGCCAAAAACGGCCACCACCCACGTGGGCTCAGCCCTGGGACTGGGTCTCTCTGCATCCCAAGTTTGAGTCTTTAAATCCTGACCACCCTAGCTCCAGTGCCACACTGTAGTGTGGAGTGGGCAGCGCTGGTGTTTTCGCTTGGCTTGGGCTGGGGAGTGTAGGGAGGTGGTCTCAGGAACCCTGCCGCTGCTAGGAAAGATCTTTCTCAGCCTTGCCTGGGGCAAGCGAGCACCTGAACATTCCTCACAAGTGGAGTACAGGCATCTCCAACCTTTTATTGTGTCTCCATGGTTCTCCAACCAGCCAAGGGGCTTGTCTTATCCATATAGGACCCGAGGGCTGGGACACCCAGTCTGTGGCTCAACCTGCTCAGTCGCCATGGCAAATGTCCACCCATGCAATCTCTGATTCCCCTTTAGGGCACAGTTTCCACAAACTGTTTTTCTTCCCATCCTATCATATTCTATGAGAATCTTTCTTAAAACTTTGATTTTACAGTAATCTTTCTACCTGTTTGCAGTTAGTTTTCAGTGAGAATTATTCTACATGTGTATGTATTTTTTTTATGCGTTCATGAAAGGAGGTGAGCACCACATCCTCTTACTCCACCATCTTGATCTCCTGTCTCAATGATAATCTTGACAAAAGTTCTTTTTCTAGCTTACAGGAGCCTGTATTTATGGACCTAATCATATCCAACTCTCAACAATTAACTATTCATTTAACTATTCTCTTTTGACTGTCGTGATTTAGAGTGAAGGCATGTGTTAAAAACTTCATCCATGGCTTATTATTCTACCCATAATTTCAAACTCTAGAAACACTAAGATATTAAATTTATGTTAATACTAATGGTGTGCATCTATAATTCTCCAAACCAAGTAATAATGAATAAATAAGTTTTAGAAAGGAGAAAGGAACAAATGTAAGGGTCATCCTTTGTTTCAATGACTGCACATTTTTATCATATGTGGTAAATACCCTATACATTGTCATCCTATACATTAATTCATTCATTTAATAAATATTTACTGAACACGTACTGTGTTCCAGACATCGATGATACGAGGGTGAAAAAGATAAATTCCCTTCCCTCATAGAGTTTAAATTCTTATCCTTTAGTGTATTCTTATGGATTTATTTATAATTTATTTATAATTCATTATTTTGTATATTGCTTTAAACTGACCTTATAATTTCCTTCTAATTTGCAGTCCGTTTGGCCGCTTCTGCTGGAAGCCTCATATATTTTGCCAGTTTCTTTCCATTTCATTCCATTGCCCAACACTATGGACGGATAAACCTCCCCATGAAGGTAGCTGCTTGTCTCAGCCCAAATGTTGCTTTGGCACTGGGAATTAAACTCCTTGTCAAGTTCGAAACAAAACGTAAGCGTTTGCCTTGCAAGTTTTGCCTTTTCTATTTGATTCCTAGAAATGTAGAAAGAGGCAGTGTGGGTGGGACAGTGGGTAAAGAGGTAAGAACATACTATAAAAATGATTTCCGGATTTGTTTTTTTACTTTGAAGGCAATTGTTTGAACTAACCTTCTATTCTACAACTTTCCTTATTTACCTAATAATATATGTTAGACCTCTTCCCACATAGAGATAGACTCTTTTCTTTTACAAAGTTGTTTAGTATTCCATTGCAAAGAGGTATTATAATTAATTAACCATTCTTTATCAATGTATGCTTAAGAATTTTCCAACTTTTTGCTATTGCCCTCAATCGTATTCACATATTTTCTCATATGGCGTGAATAATAATGTATAAATAAATTCCTAAATATAATATCTAATATGGTATTCATAGCTTAATTTAATTAATATTATGATAATCTTCAAAAAGATTAGATCAATTTATTCTCCCACCAGTAATACATGATACATGAGTTTTTCTACATCTGTTCCAATAATACATTATACTACTTTCATGTCAAAAGCATATATAAGGTCTTTATTTCCTGTAACTAATTTTCCTCCAAACTCAGCACTACTCTGCTGAAGAAAATAAATGTAAGTCTAATTTAGTGCTTTACTCAGGTTCTTCTGAATGAGTCAGTTTTTCAGACATCTCTTTCTTTCTCATAGTCTTCAAAATACTATGGAAGGGAAGGAAATCTACGAGCTCTCTTATGAGGGAAGGACATGGTGGCCTCAAAAACATGTGGTATCTTCTGGATCGTTCATATCTATAGTAGAGTACCTAGCCTGAGCTGCTTCATGTACTCTTACAAACTGAAGTGTGACTCTTTTTGTTTGGCCCGCATCTGGTAGAAACATGGTGCTGGCTAGATCCAGCCTTAAAAGTCCTCATTTAATTCTCTGCCTTCCTCTGGCCCTCTCTGAGACTCTTTGGCCTTTATAAACACTGGGAAAGTTATACAAGCTCTGAATGCGACTTTTAAGGTATGAGGGGCCAGGAACATCACATCAGGTTTATTTATCTAGCTGCCTTACTCTGCCAATAACAATGCCACCAATCATGCAATGTTGGATATTCTACATGATCCCACCTGAACATTTCACCACGGTTTCCCTAAAATAGGAAAACCTAGGATCCATGTACCTGTCCTCTGTACCTTATTTTCCTTCTTTTCTTATGTGAAGTGAGGGGCTGCCTTTCCTACTTGTCTTCATTTTTAGAAGGGACATCCTTTTCAAGTGGATATTTGCATTGCTGCTCCCCAGGGCACAAAACGCCAGAACATTAGAAGATAAGGAGAAATGGACTGTAAATTGGGGAGTATTTCAAAATTTTATATCCTTTATACCATGGAATTACTTTATCTTTTATGCTAAGTAAAAAATAGCATCTAAATCTATCAGTTTTAAGGGAGAAAAGGAAGGCTTTCTTGCTACATAAAAGTATTTGAATTGTCTAAATATTGTTAAGTTGTTGTTCAGTTGCTCAGTCATGTCTGACTCTGCAATCCCATGGACTGCAGCACACCAGGCTTCTTTGTCCTACACTATCTCCCAGAGTTTTCTCAAACTCATGTCCATTCAGTCAGCTGTGCCATCCAACCATCTCATCCTCTGTCACCCCCTTCTCCTCCTGACCTCAATCTTTCCCAGCATCAGGGTCTTTTCCAGTGAGTCCATTCTTCATATCAGGTGGCCAGAGTATTGCAGCTTCAGCATCAGCCTTTCCAATGAATATTCAATGTTGATTTCCTTTAGGATTGACTGGTTTGATCTCCTTGCTGTCCATGGGACTCTCAAGAGTCTTCTCCAGCACCACGGTTCAAAAGCATCAATTCTTCAGTGCTTAGCCTTCTTTGTGGTTCAGCTCTCACATCCACACATGACTGCTGAAAAACCCATGGCTTTGACTATACAGACCTTTGTCTGCAAAGTGATGTCTCTACTTTTTAATACGCTGTCTAGGTTTGTCATAGCTTTTCTTCCAAGGAGCAAGCATCCTTTAAATTCATGGATACAGTTATCCACAATGTAAATAACTATCCTTAGACTGTGATGCATTTAACTTGTGTTCATGGTATCTTTTTTTCCAAAAAAATACTATAATGTAATCAGGTTTGTCAGTCTTTTCCTTTAATTTATACATTTGTGTAATCTTCAAGAAATCTTTCAATACCCAGAGTCATGAAGATAATCCTATATTTTCTTTTAAATTTTGTGTTTTTAAATTTTTACATCTGAATTTTCAATATGCATAGAATTGCTGTATTTATTTTATATAAGAACCTAATTTTATTTATTTTTCACATGAAAATCAAGCTTTTACAATAATTTATTGGAATGTCTATTGTTCTCTATTGCTTTTTCATTTCGCCTACTTCACATCACATTTCAATACATGCATGGATCTGATATTAATTAGTGATATTAATTAATTTAGTGATATTAATAGTTTCCATTCTTTTTTAGTCAGTTTTTGTGTCAATGCCATGGTGGTTTTACTCATTATAGCTTTATAATAAGTCTTAATATCTGTTGGTCTTATCTTCATACCTGTTGCTCTTCAGTCATTCTTATCATTTTGCTTACCTCTTGAACTTTAGGATAACTTTGCTAAATTATATGAAAAATCTTGTTAATCTTTAGTGGGAATTTCATTGCATTTATTGATTAATGAGGATTGAAGATAGTTTTCTCATCTGTGAACAACAGTCTAATCCAAATGAGTAGCCAATCACAGGAATATATATAAGATTTCTTTGTGGACACTTACATCATTCTTACTTTATACATGAAGCATTAGAAAATTTACTAAGTTTTATTAATTAATTTTCATTGGCTTAATTGCAACAGAATTAAAACTAAAACAGTTTTACTGTTCTGAGTTACTTTTGTGAAGTTATTTTATTAATCATTTGCTCTTTCTTTTTTTGTATTACTTTTGGTTTTCAGGAACTCCTGTTTTATTTTCAGTAGCAGAATTTCTCAAGTTATGATAGACGTCCTGAAGTTTGTATTCTGCATTCTTTTTTTTCTACATTTTCTAATGTACTCTTCATTGCCTCAGATGGCTTTCATTTTGATAATCACCTTTAATTGACCAAATACTTTTTTCTCAGGCTAGTACCTCTGCTTATATAGCTTTCTCAAAAACACAGTGTTTATGAACATTCTTCTCATGGTGCTGAGCTATAGGAGAAGGGCTAAAGTTGAAGGCAGCATGGGTTTCATGGGCCATTGTGTTTAATATCTTTCTTATTTGCATTAGGAGTTCACTGCAGGCCCTGCTGCTTTTTCAGTTGTGCCACTTGTCATCTTTTGGTGACATGCTTTTCCCTTTCCATCAGTACTGTCAGCAAAACCTTTTTCTTGTCTACTTGGTAATTATCCTTCTCTAGTGATATTAAATGTTTTTCCAAATGTGTATATATACTAATGGTTATTTCAGTGGGAACTTAACATTAGAGGAAAAGTAGAGGGATAGTTTCTAATAGGTATGTTTTTTTTCTTGGCTTTTTTTGTTACTCTTTATTTTTGTTTTAGTCATTGACGTTGTCTCAGTCATTCCTATTATTTTTGTAGATTTTCAAGGGAGGAGGAAAGAAATCAATGTTATTGTATATTCCATCATTTTCTTGGGTGAGCTAATTACTAAGGGTATCAACATATAGATAATTCACCTTCGTAAAATTTAGAGTATCAACTGTTTCTTTTTTGTTTTGTTTTGTCTTTTGCTGTTTCAATCACAGAGCTGTCATCTATGGTATATATCTCCTTTTATTTCAGAAAATGGTGTTAACTGGAATAAGATTTGGACACCAGCCAGCCTTGAGGATACACTCACCTTTGGCTATATGATGGGAATGCTTGTAATTGATGCTTTCTTGTATGGCCTTGTGACCTGGTACATAGAAGCTGTCTTCCCAGGGCAGTATGGCATTCCCCAACCATGGTACTTTTTTCTTATGGTGAGTTCTAATGCTGCTATTGTTGTGAAAACCATAGTCCTTATGAGCAAGGGCATGTACAGAATCATTTGCATACCATCCATACTGAAATACTAGCCATTTCTTGATATACTTTAAAGGCCTTCCACACATGCAGATGCACAGTATGAATAAGATACTGAAACACTGTACATTAAAACACTGTGAGTAATGTAGCTGTTCTTCAGTCAAGTAGTACTTAGAATAAAGTACTTAGAATAAAGAAATGTAAAAGTGTCTGTAAACTATGTTCCCTGTTAAGTTCATGTGTGATAGTTTCTTAGGTCCTGGTGAGTGGAGGGTTCAGTTCAGTTCAGTTGCTCAGCCCAACTGTGTGACCCCCATGGACTGCAGGTCACCAGTCTTCCCTGTCCATCACCAACTCTCAGAGCTTGGTCAAACTCATGTCCATTGAGTCAGTGATACCAACCATCTCATCCTCTGTCATCCCCTTCTCCTCCTGCCTTCAATCTTTCCCAGCATCAAGGTCTCTTCTAATGAGTCAGTTCTTTGCATCAGGTGACCAAAGTACTGGAGTTTCAGCTTCAACATCAGTCCTTCCATTGAATATTCAGGACTGATTTCCTTTAGGATTGACTGGTTGGATCTCCTTGCAGTCTGAGGGACTCTGAAGAGTCTTCTCCAACACCATAGTTCAGAAGCATCAATTTTTTGAAAGTTGATGCTCAACTTTCTTAACAGTCCAACTCACATCCAGACATGATTACTGGAAAAACCATAGCTTTGACTAGATGGACCTTTGTCAGCTAAGTAATGTCTCTTTTTAATATGCTGTCTAGGTTTGTCATAGCTTTTCTTCCAAGGAACATCTTTTAATTTCATGGCTGCAGTCACCATCAGCAGTGGTTTTGGAGCCCAAGAGGGTGATGTCTGTCGCTATCTCTCAGTTCACGTACATCTGAAGCCTGACTTGAAGGATTTTGAGCTTAACATTACTAGTATGTGAATGAGCACAATTGTATGGTAATTTGAACATTCTTTAGCATTGTGAGAGGTACGTGAACTGAAACCTTCCAGATGTATAAGCTGGGTTTAGAAAAGGCAGAGGAACCAGAGATCAATTTGCCAACAAACATTGGCTCACTGGAGAAAGCAAGGGAGTTCCAGAAAAACATCTACTTCTGCTTCATTGACGATGCTAAAGCCTTTGAGTGTGTGGGTCACAAAATTCTTAAAGAGATGGGAGTACCATACCACCTTACCTGTCTCCTGAAAAAGCTGTATGCAGGTCAAGAAGCAGCATTTAGAATCAGACATGAAACAACCGACTGGTTCAAAACTGGGAAAGGAGTATGACAAGGCCGTATATTGTTGCCCTGCTTATTTAACCTAATATGCAGAATACATCATGCAACATGCAAGACTGGATGAATCACAAGATGGAATAGGATTACAGGGAAAAATATCAGCAACCTCAGATATGAAGATGATACTGCTCTAATAGCAGAAAGTGAAGAGGACTAAAGAGCTTCTTGATGAGGATGAGAGAGTAGAGTTAAAAAGTGGCTTGACACTCAACATTCAAAAAATTAAGATCATAGGGTCTGGTCCCATCACTTCATGGCAAATAGAAGGGGGGAAATGGAAGTAGTGACAGATTTTTATTGTGTTGGGCTCCAAAATCACTGTGGATGGTGACAGCAGACATGAAATTAAAAGACGCTTTCTCTTTGGAAGGAAAGCATAGTTAGCATATTAAAAGCAGAGACATTATTTTGCTGAGGTCTGTATAGTCAAAGATCCATATAGTCAAAGATATAATTTTTCCAGTAGTCATGTACACATGTGAGAATTGGACCATAAAGAAGGCTGAGCTTCTTTATGGAGAACTGATGCTTTCAAGCTGTGGTACTGGAGAAGACTCTTGAGAGTCCCTTGGACTGCAAGGAGATCAAACCAGTCAATCTTAAAGGAAATCAATGCTGAATAGTCATTGGAGGGACTGTTGCTGAAGCTTAAGCTCCAGTACTTTGCCACCTTGTACAAAGAGCCAACTTATTGGAAAAAACCCTGAGGCTGGGAAAGATTGAAGGCAAAAGGAGAAGGAGGTGGCTAAGGATGAGGTGGTTAGATAACATCACTGACTCTATGGACATGAATTTCAGCCAACTCCAGGAGATAGTGAAGGACAGAGGAGCCTGCCATGCTACAGTCCATGGTGTCGCAATGACCAAAACTTAGTGACCAAACAACAACAAAACAACCCCTGAAAGTATGTAGCAGATTTCCTCTATCTCAGAAAGTAAACCAAGCTACAGTGTTTTTAATTTTATAGTGCCTGATTTTTTTCACATTTAATGTTTTAATTTAGGTGAAATTCATATAAGTTAAAAGTAACCATTTTATACATTTACAATATACCTGCATATGTGGCGTGCTCAGTTGCTCAGTCGTGTCCAACTCTTTACAACACAGTGGAGTATAGCCTGCCAGAGACAGAATCCTGGACAGTATCCCTCTGTCCATGGGATTATCCAGGCAAGAATACTGGAGTGGCTTTCCAGTTCCTCCTCCAGGGGATCTTCCTGGAGATAAAGCCCACGTCTTCTGTTGTCTCCTGCATCAGCAGCTGGATTCTTTATCACTGAGCCACCCAGGAAACCCCATACACACACCTATCTAGTTACAAAATGTTTTCATCACCCAAAAGTAAAATTCTTTACTCATGAAGAAGTCATATCCCATTTTCCCCTATCCCAAGTCCCTAGTAATTACTAATCAGCTTTCTTTTTCAATGGATTTACCAATTCTGGATGTTTCAAAGAAATAGAGTCAGTCAATATGTGATCATTTGTGTCTGACTTCTTTTGCTTACTATGTTTTTGAGGTTTATCCATGTTATAGTATGTATCAGTACTTCAGTCTTTTTGATTGCTGAATAATATTCTATTGTATATACACAGAGGCTAAGCATTTCCTTTATCTATTCATTCTTAGTCAGAAGTACAGGACATCCTATGACTACTGAGTAGTGATGCTATGAACATTTGTGTATAAGTGTTTGTTTGAATACCTGTTTCAGGTCTTTTGGAATTATATCTGTGAGTGGAATTTGGTACTGTACCTAGGCATGGTAATTCTATGTTTAATGTTTTCAGTTTGGTGGTTTTTGGTAATTCTATGTTTAATGAAACCACTGAACTGTTTCTTTTTTTTTTTTTTTTTTGCTTTTATTGTACCCTTGAGGTTATAAGGTGTATCTTGCATTTCCCTAATGACTAATCATGCTGAGGTCTTTTAATGTACTTATTGACCATTTGTATATGTTATTTAGAAAAATGTCTATGCAAGTTCTGTGCCGATTTTAAAATTGGGTTGCTTGTCTTTTTATATATTCTGGACACTAGACTCTTACCAGATACATGGTTTGCAAATATTTTCTTCCATCCTGTGGGTTGTCTTTTCACTATCTTGACAGTGTCTTTTCATGCATAAAAGCTTTAAATGTTGATTAATCCAATTTACCAATGTTTCTTTTGTTGCTGTGAATTTGGTATCATATCTTAGTAGCCATTGTCAAATATAAAGTCTTGACAATGACAAATATAAAGTGTCTATTTTTCCTTCTAAGAGTTTGGTGATTTTTATCATTTATATTTAGATCATTGGTCAGTTTTTATTTAATTTCTGTACAGTGTGAGGTAGGGATCCAACTTCAGTCTTTTGCATGTGGATATCCTGTTGTCTTGACAACGCTATTTGAAAAGACTATTCTTTCCCATTAAATGGCCTTAGCACACTTGATGGAAAAGATTGACCACAGATGTACTGGTTTATTTCTGTACCTTTAATTTTGTTCTTTGACCTCTATACATGTCCTTATAACAGTACCATACTGTTTTGATTATTGTATATTTATAGTAAACTGAAATTTGAAAGTGTGAGTACTCCAACCTAGTTTTTATTTGCCAAGGTTGTTTTGGCTGTTAGGAGCCTCTTGCAAGTCCATATGAACTTAATGCTCAATTTTTGTATTTCTCCAAGAATGTTCATCTAAATTTTTATAAGAATTACATTGAATTTGTTGATTGTCTTAGCTAATATTGCCATATTTAAAATATTATTTGTATGTCTTATTTAAATTCTTTCAGCAAAGTTTTACAGTTTTCAGTGTACAAGTCTTTCACTTTTTGTTAACTTTATTCCCAAGTATTTTACTCTTTTGGACTCTATTGTAACTGGAATTGTTAGTTTTCTTTTTGTATTGTTTGTTGCTAGTATATCAAACTACAACTTATTTTTGCATATTGTTCGTATACCTTGCACCTTTGCTGAATTTGTTTATCTCTACTAGTTTGGTGGTTGATTCTTTGGGGTTTTTTTAATAAGTAGGATCATGTCATTTTCCTTTCCAATTTGAGTGCCTTTTATTTCTTTTTCTGCCTCATTGTTCTGACTGAATCTCCCAGTACAGTAGTGAGTAGCAAAAGTGAAAGTAGGCCTCGTTATCTTGTTCCTGATATTAGGGGAAAAGATTTTCAGTATTTCACCATTGAGTATGATGTTATCTATGGATTTTTTTTTCATAAAAATTCATATCATTTTGATATGATTTATCATTTTGACAGTTTTCTTCTTTATCTTGAAACACTTTGTCAAAGGCTTTATTTCCATCAATTGAGATGACCATGTGTGTTTTTCCATTTGTTCTATTAATGTGATATATTACATTGATTGACTGTCTTTTGTTGAAACACCCCTGCATTCCTGGGATAAATCACACTTTATCATGATGTATACTTCTTTTGATATGCTTATTAGATTCAGTTTGCTAGTAGTTGATTTTTGCACCTATAGTCATAAGATATATTGGATTATAGTTACTTTCTTTGTGATCTCTGTATCTGGATTTGGTGTCAGGGTAACACTGACCTTATATGAATGAATTATGGAATGTTTCCTCCTCTTATACTTTTTGGAAGACTTGGAGAAGGACTACTGTTAACTCTTATTTAAATGATCTGTAGAATTCATCAGCGAAGTTTCCTGATCCTGGACTTTTCTTCATTTCACCTATTTTTTGACAATGACTCAGTTGATTTACTTGTTATAAGACTGTTCAGATAGAGTGCTTCATTTCTTAATGTTCACTTTGGTAATTTCACTTTGACTTTCTTTGTAGCACTCGTACTGGTTCAGCAAACCAAGAATTAAAATTAAAAAAGAAAAAATGAAAGACTCTAGGATAACTCAAAACAAGTATTTTGAGGCTGAACCTACTGGTTTGGTGACAGGTATCAAGATCAAACACTTGTACAAGGTATTGTTTCAAAAGTCTCTTTTTCCTACAAAGACTGAATACTACATACTACTATTAAGATTATTTGTAGTTAGCTATTCCAAGAAATCAAATGAGATGCTTAATAAATAATCATAGTTAATATAGTTTTTATCTGAAGCATTCATAGAACATATAAATATATGTTCTGTATGTGATCTTATTTGCTCTACCCATTGTGCTTATTTTTAATCTCCTCCAATGGATTTGACAGCAAGTGATATTTGAATTTTGTAATAAAATTCTCTGAAGAAAATAAACTTGATAATGCAATAAGAACATTTGGGTGTGTGGTTGGAGAGGATAACATTAAAGGTAGTTAAAGCAAAACCTCTCTGAAGGGATAACCTTTGAACTAGAGAATGAGAAGAGTCAATTATTTGAAAAGCTAAAGGAAAAACACTCATGTTAGGAAAGTCACAAATTTGAAAACCCTGAGGTGAGAAAGACTCATGTTGAAAGATTGCTGCTCCGAGCCGTGAGCTCTGCCAGGATTCATGACCTCCAGAGAGAGGATTTTGATCTGGGGTCAGAGATGAGGCTCAATCACTAGGAGCTTTTGTGTAGCAAAGTTTTATTAAAGTATAAAAGGGATAGTAAAACCTTCCAACATAGACATCAGAAGGGGACAGAAAGAGTGCCCCCTTGCTAGTTTTTTAGCAAGGAGTTATATATCTGTTAGCAAGTTGCTAATTAGATAAAAGAAACACCTCAAAACTGAGAGAGCTGCACCTGGCCCCTCTCCCTCAGCATGCATTTTGAGATAGCATTGGCACAAGGTGAGTCATCCCCAGCCATAAAATAATTGATATGAATCTTGAAGAAAGGCAGATTTCCAATCAAATACATAGTTTCATTAACAGAGCTTAAGAGAACATTTCCATGAGTAAGACATACTAGTTTGTAGAGCCATTAGCAGTTCAGGTTTTGAGAAAAAGGTTAGTCTTGGCGGAAATGGATTTGAGGAAAGGCAGATTCCAAGGCAAGTACATAATTTCATTAAGATAGCTTAAGAAAAACATTTCCACAAGAAAAACACATTGGTTAGCTCAAGGTTTGAGAAAAGTTAAGTTCAAGTGGAACCAGGAGTTGTCATGACAGCATAGGATTAGGGAAAAAAGTCTGCCACTTGCAGTTCATTTCCTCCTGCCTCTTGGGGACTGCTAGTCTTCTTAACTGTTACCCTCTCAATGTGTTTGAGGATCAGAAAGAAAAAAAAAATTTGGAGGCAAAAGAATGTTAGTAAATGGCTTCATTGGGAAGTCATTATTTGGCTAGAGGAATATATATATATATGTGTGTGTGTATATATATATATATATATATATATTTTAAGATCATTTTGACTACATTATGGGAAATGGGATGTTGGAAATTGAGGAATTAAGAAGGCAAAGTGTAGGAAACAAAGACCAATGGTACTTTGCCTAAGAAATAATGATGATTGAACAAAGGTCATAGCAATACGTATTAAAAGAAATAGACAAATCCAAGATATTTTCCACAGAGTGGAGACTATTAGGAAATAAGTGGGCACTGAAAGAGAAGAAGGAAACTAGATAACAAACTATTAATAGAGCAATTAAATGTTAAATAACATAGACCTTTGCTGTTCTTACCAAGTTATAGTAGATTTTCTTAAATGTTTCTCCACTTGCTGTATTTTCTCAGATCAGTTTCTGGAGGCTTTAAGTGGTTGGGTTTTTTTTTTGTTTTTTTTTTTTTCAGCTCTGAACTTCTTTTATTATTATTTTTTTTTAACTGAAGGATAATTGCTTACAGAATTTTATAGTTTTCTGTCAAACCTCAACATGAAACATGTTTTTTTAATTTTTACCAGAATTTCTTGTTCCACTGTGGAGTGGGTCTATGGAGCTTTTCATGCTTACTTCCCAGAAATGAATCTTTTTATTGTCTTTTTAAATGGATTCAATTTTCTTAAGTTTTGTTTATAGTCTTTTTAATTAGGTTTTTTATGATAGATATTGGTCTCTTTTCATTTGTTGTAAGGTATTTTCTCATTTTGATACCAGGATAATGATAGCTTCATATAGTGAGTTGGGAAGTATTTCCTCTTTTTCAATTTTCCAGAAGAGATTTTGTACATGTATTATTTTGTATCTAATTACTTGGGGAATTTTCCTGAGATCTTTTTTTGTAATTAATTTCTAATTTAACTCTGATTATGGTCAAAGAAAGACACTTGTATGACTTCAGTTCTTTTAAATATATTGATTCTTATTTGTTTCAGTCAATCATCTGTCTAAATAAATTTTATAAGTACTTGAAAATAATGTGTAATCTGCTGCTGTTAAGTGAATTGACACAAAAATGTCAATTAAGACAAGTTAGTTGTTAGCTCTTCAAGTATTCTATATCCTTACTGATTCTACATATTCTGACAGTTATTGAGAGGAAAGGATCAAAGTCTTTGAAAATAAGTTCATTTTTTTATTTCTCTTTGTAGTTCTATTGATTGTTGCCTCATGTATTTTGAATTCTGTTATTGGGTATATAAACATTTAGTAATATTATGTCTTGTAAATTGAAATATTTAGTAATATTATGTCTTCTTGACTGCAGCACACTGGGCTGCCCTGCCCATCACCAACTCCCGGAACTTGCTAAATAAACATTTAGTAATATTATGATCTCTTTATGATTATAAAGTGACATTCTTATCTTTGGCAATATTTTTCTCTCTTAAATCTACTCTAATTGTTGTTTATGTAGCCACACCACTTACCTTTTATTATTATTATTGGATTCTGTTTTACTATAATAACACTAAGACTTTCAGGTTATTGGTTTTAATTTGCAAATTAAAACATTTTCTGAATGTCTGTATAATTTATTGTATTTGAAAAGAACAGCATCATCTAGGCCATATCCATGTGTTTTTAAGACCAAACTGTTGAGGTTTTATTAACATCCAAAAAGCTAATTATCCTACTTAAACATTGCCTGATTAATATATGTGTATACTATGGAGGCTTCCCAGGTGACATCAGAGGTAAAGAACCCACCTGCCAATATAGGAGACATGAGATGCACATTCGATCCCTGACTTGGGATGATCCCCTTGAGGAGGGCATAGCAACACACTCCAGTATTCTTGCCTGGAAAATCCCATGGACAGAGGAGCCTAGCTGCTTCAGTCCATGCGGTCACAAAGAGTCAGACACGACTGAAGTGACTTAGCACACATGTATAAATGTGCATGTCAGTTCAGTTCAGTTCAGTCACTCAGTCTTGTCCAACTCTTTGCGACCCCATGGACTGCAGCACACCAGGCTTCCCTGTCCATCACCAACTCCCGGAGCTTGCTAAAACTCATGTCCATCAAGTCGGTGATGCTATCCAACCATTTCATCCTCTGTTGTCCTCTTCTCCTCCTGCCTTCAATCTTTCCCAGCATCAGAGTCTTTTCCAGTGAGTGAGTTCTTTGCATCAGGTAGCCAAAGTATTGGAGTTTCAGCTTCAGCATCAGTCCTTCCAATGAATATTCAGGACTGATTTCCTTTAAGGATTGACTGGTTTGATCTCCTTGTAGTCCAAGGGACTCTCAAAAGTCTTCTCCAACACCACAGTTCAAAAGCTTCAATTCTTGGGTGCTCAACTTTCTTTATAGTCCAACTCTCACATCTATGCACGACTACTGGAAAAACCATAGCTTTGACTAGACCGACCTTTGTTGGCAAAGTAATGTCTTTACTTTTTAACATGCTGTCTAGGTTGGTCACAGTTTTTCTTCCAAGGAGCAAGCTTTGTTTAATTTCATGGTTTCAGTCACCATCTGCAGTGACTTTGGAGCCCCCAAAAATAAAGTCTCTCACTGTTTCCATTGTTTCCCTATCTATTTGCCATGACATGATGGGACCAGATGCCATGATCTTTGTTTTTTAAATGTTGAGTTTTAAGCCAGATTTTTCACTCACCTCTTTCATTTCCATAAAGAGGCTCTTTAGTTTCTCTTCACTTTCTGCCATAAAAGTGCTGTTATCTACATATCTGAGGTTATTGATATTTCTCCTGGTAATCTTGATTCCAGTTTGTGCTTCATCCAGCCTGGCATTTCACATGATGTACTCTGCATATAAGTTAAATCAGCAGGGTGTCAATATACAGTCTTGATGTAGTCTTCTCCCAATTTGGAACCAGTTGATTGTTCCATGTCCGGTTCTAACTGTTGCTTCTTGACCTGCATACAGGTTTCTCAGGAGGCAGGTAAGGTGGTCTGGTATTCCCATTGGTTGAAGAATTTTCCACATTTTGTTGTGATCTACACAATCAAAGGCTTTGGCGTAATCAATAAAGCAGGAGTAGATGTTTTTCTGGTATTCTCTTGCTTTTTTGATGATCCAGTGGATGTTGGAAATTTGATTTCTGGTTCCTCTGCCTTTTGTAAATCCAGCTTGAACATCTGGAAATTCACGGTTCATGTACTGTTGAAGCCTGGCTTAGAGAATTTTGAGCATTACTTTGCTAGCATGTGAGATGAATGTAATTGTGGGATAGTTTGAAAAGTCTTTGGCATAGCCTTTCTTTGGGATTGGAATGAAAACTGACTTTTTCCAGTCCTGTGACCACTGCTGAGTTTTGCAAATTTGCTGGCACATGGAGTGCAGCACTTTCACAGCATCATCTTTTAGGGTTTGAAATCCTAAAACAGCAATCCTTCCAATGAATATTCAGAGTTGACTTCCTTTACAACTGACTGGTTTGATCTCCTTGCTGCCCAAGGGACTCTCAAGAACTTTCTCCAGCACCACATTTCAAAAGCATCAATTCTTCAGTGCTCAGCCTTCTTTGTGGCTCAACTCTCACATCCGTATATGACTACTAGAAAAACCAAAGCTTTGACTATACAAGACTTTGTGGCAAAGTGATGTCTCTGCTTTTTATTATGCTATCTAGATTTGTCATAGCTTTTCTTCCAAAAAGCAAGCATCTTTTAGTTTCGTGGCTGCAGTCATTGTCCACGGGGATTTTGGAGCCCAAGAAAATAAAGTCTATCACTGTTTCCACTTCTATTGCCATGAAATGATGGGACTGGATGCCATGGTCTTAGTTTGTTGAATGTTGTCTTTAGCAGCTTTTTCACTCTCCTCTTTCACCTTCACCCAGAGGCTCTAGTTCCTCTTCACTTTCTGCCATTAGTGTGGTATCATCTGCATATCTGAGGTTGTTGATATTTCTCCAGCAGTCTTGACTCCAGCTTGTGTTTCATCCAGTCCAGCATTTCACATGATGTATTCTGCATATAAGTTAAATAAGCCGAGCGACAATATACGGCTTTGATGTAGTCCTTTCCCAGTTTTGAACCAGTCCATTTTTCCATGTCCGGTTCTAACTGTTGCTTCTTGACCTGGATACAGGTTTCTCAGGAGACAGGTAAGGTGATCTGGTAGTCCCATCTCTTGAAGAATTTTCCAAAGTTTGTTGTGATCCACACAAAGGCTTTAGTGTAGTCAATGAAGCAGAAGTAGATTTTTTTCTGGAATTCTCTTGTTTTTTCTATAATCCAGCAGATGTTGACAATTTGGTCTCTGGTTCCTCTGCCTTTTCTAAACCCAACTTGTACATCAGGAAGTTCTCAGTTCATATACTGTTGAAGCCTAGCTTGAAGGATTCTGAGCATTATCTTGCTAGCATGTGAAATGAGTGCATTTGTGTGGTAGTTTGAACATTATTTGACATTGCCCTTCTTTGGGATTAAAATGAAAACCATCCTTTTCCAGTCCTGAGGCCACTTCTGAGTTTTCCAAATTTGCTGGCATATTGAGGGTGGCACTTTGACAGAATCTTTTAGGATTTTAAATAGCTCAGCTGTAATTCCATCACCTCTGTTAGCTTTATTTGTAATGATGCTCTCTAAGGCCCTCTTGACTTTGCACTCCAAGATGTCTGGTTCTAGGTGAGTGATCACACCATCATGGTTATATGGGTCATTAAGATGTTTTTTGTATAGTTCTGTGTATTCTTTCCATCTCTTAATATCTTCTGCTTCTGTTAGGTCCATACATTTCTGTCCTTTATTGTGTCCATCTGTGCATGAAATGTTCCCTTGGTATCTCTGATTTTCTTGAATTGGAGGATAATTGCTCTACAATATTGTTTTGGTTTTTGCCATACATCACCCTCTTCTATGTGGATATTTTTCAGAAGTAAATACTGTAGTACTGCACAGTCTATGGTTGGTTGAATCAGACAATATGCAGGAAGTACAGATATGGAAGACCAACTATAAATTATATGTGAATTAACCCCCACATTGTTCAAAAGTCAACTATAGTGGAAATTTTCAAAAGACCCTTCTGAAAGGTTGTCAAGCATGTTTTATAAAGGATCAAATAAATACTTTAGGCTCCATGATCCACATAGAGTGTCTGTCATGTATTCTTTTTGTATTTTTTACCAAGTCTTTAAAAGTATAAAAAGCTGTTCCTAGTTTTTTTGCCATACAAAAACAGATAATGGGCCATATTTGAGCTGCTGTTTGGAATCTTAAGAATTTCTGGGCATGCTTTTGAAGTGAAGTGAAAGTTGCTCAGTCGTATCTGACTGTCTGTGATCCTTGGACTATACAGTCCATGGAATTCTCCAAGCCAGAATACTGGAGTGGGTAGCCTTTCCCTTCTCCAGGGCATCCTCCCAACTCAAGGATTGAACCCAGGTCTTCCGCATTGCAGATAAATTCTTTACCAGCTGAGCCATCAGGCTTTTATCAATAACTAAACTTCTGGCTGAAATCATGGCATCAACTTTTCCAATCATTGGTGGCAGTTTCTGTGAGCTTTCCTAGATCCTGCTACAGTTTAGTAAACCCACAATTACAATATGATATTCTTTATACATAAAATATAAAGAAGTCTCCATTTTCCTTACCAAGTGTAAATAGTTATACATACCACCAGGACTTCATATTTATTTTGACCAGTGTACAAACTCAATGCACCTACACATATTGTTCGTTGTTCACAGTATCATCTTCTTTATACAATGTGAGTTTGATGATATGATGTTTCTTCTAAGGATAGGATGTAAGTGTCTTTCATAAGTGATAAGCGATAAATATCAAGTTATTCTTTTCTTTATTCCCCAGGAATTAGGTGACAAAGTAGTAATAAACAATATGTCTTTGAATTTATATAAGGGGCAGATCACTGTTCTCCTGGGACAAAACGGGGCAGGAAAAACCACAGCCCTGTCTATTCTCACAGGTATGTGTTTGGCTCTATCCAAAGCAGCAGTCAAGTTCCTTCTAAACTATAAATCAATCAACAGCCTTTAGTGTTAAAGTATGTTGTCACTTCAGTGTTGTAGTTATTATTAGAGTTTTAATTATTTAAAACCAAGATGCTCACATGATATAATACATTAATTTAACCAGTTAAAAGTGTGCCTGCTCTTTTTCTAGGAATAGATATAACAGTGGTGATTTCAAAGTTGTTACATTCAGTTTTATACTCTGGTACAGATACAGTCAAAAATGTGAAACATACAACACACCATAAATGAAAAGGAAGATGTAGAATCCAAAAGAATGACACCTAACCTGTTTTGGGCATGATGAATAGGGTAGTGACATCAATATGAAGCAAATAGGAGATATAAAGAGCTATGATGGAAAGGAAAGAAGAACATTATATAAGCAAAGACTAGAAAACTGAAGAGCAGGGAACAGACACATGACTAGACTATGAAAGGAATGTAAATAATGGCAAAAGACGAAGATGGATGAATAATCAAAAGGTCAAATCATAAAAGAATTGGGGGAAGCCATGCATTAAAGTTTAGAATTTATTCTGAGAGCAAGGAAAAGTCATAAAAGGGTATTTTATGAAGGTTTATACTTTAGAAATATTGCATTCACTAAAAAGAAAGAATGGATAAAGAATACTAGGGACTGTTAGAACAATGAACTGTATGTTGAGTATATGTCCTAGAGGCTCGAGCAGGGCTGAGCCAGTACTCAAGATAAAAACAGCCTCTGTTTGTTACAAAAGTGATGCCAAAACTAACAGGAGGGCAGACAGTACTCCTGTTCTCTGCTGTTTTGTGTATTTGAACTGACTCCCTCTATGTCTGTTAAAACTTTTCTTAAAAGAATGACTGCCTAGCTAACACAAGGTCATGATTCAAGTCATCATTACCATCATTATAATATTAATTTATGCATAATATATGTAGTTAATATGCTTTATATAATTTGTCCTGGAATACACGCCATGCTTTATTTTTCTTTTATTGTGGTTAGAACATTTTTTTTTACAAAATATTATTTTAGTTTCAGTCCCTATGACATAGTGATTTATGTTTCCACAAACTGTGGAAAATTCTTAAAGAGATGGGACTACCAGACCACCCTACCTGCCTCCTGAGAAACCTGTATCCAGGTCAAGAAGCCGCAGTTCAAACCGGACATGGAACAACCGACTGGTTCCAAATCGGGAAAGCAGTACATCAAGGCTGTATGTTGTCACCCTGCTTACTTAATTTATATGCAGAGTACATCATGAGAAATGCTGGGCTCGATGAAGCACAAGCTGGAATCAAGATTGCCGGGAGAAATATCAATAACCTCAGATATGCAGATGACACCCCCCTTATGGCAGAAAGAGAAGAGGAATTAAGGAGCCACATGATGAAGGTGAAAGAGGAGAGTGAAAAAACTGGCTTAAAACTCAACATTCAAATAACTAAGGTTGTTATAGAAACCATGGCAAGGGAAAGAGACAAGTGGCACTCAAAAGATGCAGAACAGCAGGGTTTATTCAGCACTGGTGCTGGCTCTGCGGAATCGCCTCTGAAGGCTGAGCACCCAGGCTTTGTCCTGGGTATCTTTTATACATCATAAGCTTCCCACTTAGACAGCTCAGATTCCCTCCCCTCCCCAGGTAGTCCAAGTTCCCACGATCTAACGAGCAAGCTGTTAACACAAAATAACGGAAGGGAAAGCAAAACGTTGTTACTTAATTGGGGGCTTTATCTCGCTCCCATCTCATCCCCATCTCTTGATGTGTAGGGTGCATCTGCAGCCACCAGAGAACACCATCTTCTGGCCCTTGCTGGTATCCCTTTAAAAGCAGCAACTGGATGGCCATCCTCCATTCGACAGCTGTCTCTGTGAAACCTGTTACAACTCTGATTAGGAGGGGTATGAAACCAAGAAGGAGCAGACATCCAGAGAGTATGACTACGACCATCCCAATCATTTTTTTAAACCAACCTAGTGGGGGAGCCTGGTGGGCTGCCAGGCTCTATGGGGTCTCTATGGGGTTGCACAGAGTTGGACACGACTGAAGTGACTTAGCAGCAGCAGCAGCTAAGAGAACCATCCTCCAAAGAGGCCATTCACTCCGAGGGCTCTAATTTTTCCCTTCCAGTAAGTTTCCCTTCCCTAGTGCATGGGGAAGCTGAACTACAACATGCAGCCAGTTGGTATATATAGTAAGTGAATCCTCAGACCCATTTCCTTTCATGGTAGAAAGATTCCATACATTCAAAACAATCATCCTGACTCTCAGATGAGGAGGGGATTTTACAACTTAACAGAACTATAAGGCAAAAATATGCTGTTTTCATATTTAAGCTGATCACAGTAGGGGGAGATTCCAAAAAACAAGAACTATGAAGAAGTAGGCAAAGCAGAGGGAAAGTTTTAGGATCCAAGTCTACTCTCGGGGGAAAACAGAGTAGAGCCCAATTCTGAATAAGATGAATAAGGGGAGTCCCAGTCCAAGTGATAATCAATATGGCCTTTTGTCCGTCCTGTTGGTTCCTCAAGCTTCAGCCTTGTGTTGACTGACCAGCTTCTGACGTGACCAGATCAGGGCTTCAGGGCGGTTCTTTCCTTCTTCAGGTCAGGCACGAGGATTGCCCTGGACTGAGGGCCATTTCCCACTTCTCTCAGCTAGCAGACAGACTTGCAGGTTTGACTCTGGAGTAATGGATCCAAGTTTATTCCTGCACCTTGAGAGCAGTGGGAGGAGTTAAGATTACAGAATAGGGCCCTTTCCACATGGGTTTTAAAGGCTCTCTTTTCCAATCCTTTACCCATACTTGATCTCTTGGTTGGTGGGGATGTACTGTTATGCCTAAGGATATGGGTATTATATCAATTGTCCATTCATGTATTTGAGAGGTTGTGTATCCTAACCCTTGTAGCTGCCTATATAAGTCCAAATTCCCCAGTTCTCTGGTGTACCCCCTTGAGTTGACTAGTGAGAGTGGTCGTCCAAACAGGATTTCAAATGGTGAAAACCCTATCCCTGCTTGGGCTGAACACCTCACCTTTAAGAGGGCCACAGGTAACATGTCTACTGTAAGCTGGTCAACATGTCAACATGTAAGCTGGTCTCCTGGCAGTTTTGCTAGGGTTTGTTTGAGAGTTTGATTCATGCTTTCCACTTTCCCTGAGCTCTGGGGACGGTAGGCAGTATGCAATTTCCACTGGATTTTCAAAGCCTTTGCCACCTGTTGAACTGTCTCAGCTACAAATGCTGGTCCATTGTCCAACCCTGTGATCAGAGACATTCCAAACCTGAGGACAATGTCTTTCAGGAGTGTCTTGGTTACTTCTCTTGCTTTTTCAGTTTGTGTAGGAAAGGCTTTCCCACCCAGCCTGAAAAGGTGCAGATAAAAACTAAAAGGTATCTAAATCCTCGACTTGGGGTGATTTCAGGGAAATCTACCTCCATATCCTCAAAGGGGGATAGTCCACAATGTTGTGCCCCTGCTGACCTACTAGGCCCCTGGCAGGCATTATTTTGTAAGCCGGTTACACATTGCTGGGAGACAGCAGAACAGAGTGTGGGGAGGTGAGCACTGAGATAGTACCAGCCTAGCAAAGTCTCTGAGGTGGCCTTGCCCACATGAATCAGTTTATGTTGCTGGTGGACCAGCTTGTAGGCTAGCTGTTCTGGAACATAGACTTGGTGGTCCTGTGTGATCCACCATTCCATCTTGGCCTTGGTTCCCCCTTCCTTTTTTATCCATTCTTCCTCCTCAGGAGAGTACCTAGGGGCAGCTTGTATCTTCAGGGCTAGCAGGATTTTCGGTTTGTCTGGCGGCTGTCCCCAGGCAGCCTCCTTGGTGGCTGCATCAGCGTGGCGGTTCCCTTTGGCCCCCGGGTCACCTCCCTTTTGGTGGCCTTTGCAGTGGACAACTGCCACTTCTTTTGGTTCCCATACTACTTCCAGAAGTTTCAGGATTTTGGTTTGGTTTTTAATCCCTTTTCCTTCTGCTGTAAGGAGTCCTCTTTCCTTGGATAAGGCTCCGTGGACATGTAGAGTAACACAAGCATACCACAAGTCAGTATAGATGTTGGCTTCTTGGTCTCGGCTGAGTTCCAGAGCCCTGATTAATGCCCATAACTCTGCTGTCTGCACTGACCGTCCTTGAGGAAGCACCTCTGCTTCTTCCACTTCAGAATCAGACACCACAGCATACCCAGCCATCCTGTTCCCATTTTCCATGAAACTGCTACCATCAGTATATAGGACCAGGTCAGTGTTGTTGAGTGGCTTGACAGTCAGGTCTGGTCTACTAGAAAATACTTCATCTAGTATTTCCAGGCAGTGATGGTCCAAGGGCCCTGCTTCATCTGGTAGGAAGGTAGCTCGGTTTAGAGTCCGTACAACTTCCAGTTTTACCCATGAATTTTCACATAATAACCCTTGATACTGAGTCATCTGTGCATGCATGAGCCAATGGTGGCCTCTGCTATATCCATCAGGGTTACAACTGAATGTGGGACCTTAACATTTAGGTTTTGCCCCAACGTTAATCTGTCAGCCTCCCTCACTAGCAAGGTAGTGGCTGCTGGTGCTTGGAGGCAGGGTGGCCATTCAGTCACAACCGAATTGATCTCTTTAAACAAGTAGGCCACCAACCTTTGCCAAGGTCCGAATTCTTGGGTCAAGACTCCCAAGGCCATTTTGTTCTTATTATGAACAGAGATTGAACTCTGGTTACATCACGAAGCTTTAGGGTTGGGACCTCGGAGATTTTTGCCTTAACTGTTTAAAACGCCACCTCTTGGCTTGGTCCCCATTCAAGGGGAGCCTTTTCCTCCCCTTTCAGAGCCTGATATAGGCGCCTGACCAGGTCTGAAAATCCAGGAATCCATATCCTGCAGAATCCTGCTGCTCCCAGGAACTCGTGGATCTTCCGGCGAGTGGTAGGGGTAGGAATGGCGCAAACTGCTTCTTTCAGTTTC